TCGAAAGACAAAATTGGCTAAGCAAGAGCGGCAATTGCCGAGAGCGGACCGGTCCGAGCTGCCTTATCACGTGCACTGAACGCGGTCGCGATATAGTCATTTCTTGAACAACCACCTAATGTTCTGCAGTTCGCCCTCATAGTGTAAAACAATTCTCAACCCACTAGGATGAGCTCTGATGGCTACTTCGACGACGATATTGACGAAGAAACTCTCGAACAGCTTAGCGCAATCGAGGCGCAATATCAGCAATCGACTGAGCAACCCCCTGTCAGCACAAGAGGCCCTTCTCCAATCATGATAGATAGCTCAGACTATGGCGAATCTTTTGACCTTGATGAACACGCTCTCGATGCTATCAAAGCCATAGAAGATAGTGTCTACCAACCACCACCATCACCACCACGACAAGTTGCTCCGCTTGCCAGGACTTCATCAAAAGGCACAGTTCAAACTACTTTGTATGGAGAGGTCCTGCCTGCGCGTGCATCTTCCAGTAGAGCCAATTCTCATGCGCAAAGGGCCAAAAGCAAACAAGAGCCTCGCAAGGCAAAACAATGGGACCATACTGCTTTCGCGAAGACTGGTGTTAAGAGTGGCAAGGCGAAAGGAAAGGGAAAAATGAAGCAACAAGACGATGATGCCGGAGAGGAAGAAGAGGAAGAATTTGAGTTTGAGCAATTTCCACCTCCTTTCGTATCTCGTGAGTGCCATGGGTTTTCAATCAATTTCTTTGCCAATTTTGTTCTATATGACAGTCGGGTGAGTGCAGGACTTACTCCATGAAATGTGATTCCGACCATGAATCTTGTCCTTTTCGTCCCCAGTCCTGTATGTGATGTCCCTCACCGTTTAATCGTGGCGTCTCAGAGACTCCCTTAGGCTCCTCCCATGAAAATTCAACCTGATCTCTTGGAGTCAAAACACTGGATCTACCCTCTGAACCGTCCAAAGCGTAGCTATCAGTTTGAGATCGTCCAGAACAGTCTCTTCGAAAATACAATCGTTGCTCTTCCAACTGGTACGGGAAAGACTTTCATCGCTGGAGTTGTTATGCTAAATTGTAAGTATAGCAAATCCGTTCTTTATTATCCGCTTGCTTTCCTTTACGCAGATTACCGATGGTTTCCGGAGGGGAAAGTGGTATTTGTTGCTCCAACGAAACCACTCGTGTCGCAACAAGTAAAGGCTTGCCATGAAGTTTGTGGTATACCCGGAAGTGATGCAGTAGAAATGACTGGACTTATATCCAAACCAATAAGACATAAATTTGTGAGCTTTGTCTTGCTGGCATCATCCACCTACTCAAATTTATACCTCCGAGTATAGTGGGGACAAAAGCGTGTATTCTATATGACGCCCCAGACACTGATCAACGATCTTCAAACGGAGAACTGCGATGCTCGAGATATTGTTCTCATCGTCGTAGGTAAGTATTCAGCAATCGACTGATTAGAGTGGTATTTATCGGGTTGCAGACGAGGCACATCGCGCCACGGGTGATTACGCTTACAACCAAGTCATTCGCTATATGATGGCAAAGAATCCTCACTTCCGAGTGTTAGCTCTTACTGCTACTCCTGGTAGTAACAAAGAAGCTGTTCAAACGCTCATCGACGGACTGCACATCAGTCATATCGAAATTCGCGATGAAAAAGAGCTAGCTCAATATAATCATGCTAAAGTATGTACCTTTGCTATGGCATAACCATTATTCATATGTGTGATTGTGGTTTTGTGTAGGAAATTGAGAAGCATATCATTTCGATGACCCCAGAGATCAACAGAATTAAGGATCTCCTTCTTAAACTTATGAATGCAAGTGGCCATGATCGTTAGTGCAGAGTCTTCTTTCACTAACAGTTGTTGTAGTCCTTCTTCAAACCCATTGCTCATGTTTGGAGAGGTAATCCCAATCTATCAACAATGCATCCCTTCGCCGCAACAAGACAGGCGGAAGGTTTAGGCCAAGCCCAGCGTCATCTTTCCGACCACTTCTATAACTTAGCGTCATTTGCTCGATGGTTGGGTTATCTTGTAAGCTACTGTTCCGATTTCTGACTATTTACTCGATATCCTCACTCAAAACCTAGACGGAAGGTACTACTAAGATGTGCTACGACGAACTCGAAGCCTATGTCCGTGGACCTAAAACTACAGAGGGCTTGAAACCCTACGAAAAGGCAAATGTCACAAAATCCAAAAAGATTCACACTAATCCACTGTTTCTCAACCTCATGAACGAAATTCGTGCACAAAATACGCAAGGATTCACCATACATCCGAAGATGGAAAAGATGAAAAACCTGATCGTGCAGCATTTTGGTGCGCGAATGAGTGAGGGTGGGGATCCGGAAAGTGGGGAAGGGGCTACGAAGGCAATGGTTTTCGTTGTGCACCGTGCGGCGGTAGATGAGATCGTTCAAGCGCTGAATGCGGAGCAGCCTCTCATTCGGGCTACACCTTTCATCGGGCAAGGTACAGACAAGAGAGGCAAAAAAGGACAAGCACAACGCGAGCAGTTAGAGGTGCGAGACCGGCTACTGCCCATCTTCTGCAGTAAAACTCAATCCGTTTCGTATAGATTATCGAGAAGTTCAAGAACAACGATTTCAATGTTCTCGTCGCAACCTCCATAGGCGAAGAAGGTTTAGATATTGGGGAGGTGGATCTCGCGATTTGCTACGATACACAAAAAACACCAATTCGTCTGGTATGTTGCATATTGCTAAACGTCCTTTTGGAAGTACACTTTTCAATCCAATGTGTATCTAGCTTCAAAGATTAGGCCGAACAGGACGAAAACGGTCTGGTTACGTCCACGCTCTCCTTGCGGAGGGCCGCGAGGAACACAATTTCGACAAAGCCCAATCTAGCTACGAAGACGTCCAAGCATCAATCATATATGGATCGCATCTGGAATACTACGCAGACGTTAAGCGCCTGCTTCCAGATAACGTTCAGCCCAAGTGCCTCGAGAAAAACATGGAGATCATTCCCTACGTACGCGATGAAGCACCTAAGAAGCGCGGCGAGGGCGACAACTCGACAAAGAAGGGTGTCAAGCGCAAGAGGAATGATGACATAGGGAGAAACATACCGCAAGGGGCCAGCACAGGTTTTGTGAAGGTCACGGATCTGTTGGTAAAAGAGAAGGGGAAGAAGGCCAAGAAAATTCGCGAATCAAAGAATTTTGAGGCCTTGGGCGAAGATGACGAGGACGATTTGGACCTTGCTTCTGGAGTATTTGGTGCATCCAAGGTCCTGAAGAAGTCGAAATCTGCCGTTGCTCCCAAATCCAAAACTGGCACGGGCGCGCTGCGCAAAGCGAAGACGCTTGATCCGGATAAACCGAAGAAGACCAGAAAGAGGAAAGGAAAAGAGGAAGAGGTTTCTAAGCTTATGGAATGGACAGCGAGTCAATTGCAAGCCAAAGGCATTGATGATTCTGACGATATGGAAATTGAAAATGGTATCCTCTCGATGAAACCCAATCGAAGTTTATCGTCTTTGTCTCCTCGTAGGGGTTCATCCGAGCACGCTGTTGTCAACGGGGTCGCTGAAGTGATCGACTTGACTGATTCAGATCGTGAAGCCTCAGGTGCGTTGCAGTAGTTTTCTGTGATCTCATTGGCGACCCGTTTTCGCTGACTTTTCTATCAAAGATTTTGAACAGGCTTTTCAATCGCCGCCAAAATCATGGAGCCAGTCCCCTCCGAAAATATCTTCTCCACGAAATGCACAGAATATAGCGTGGCTACTTGAAGACGAGAATGAAGACACGCAGCTTGACTTTGACATTGTGAACTCATCTCCTGTCGTTAAGCAAACCCAAGGGCCTTCTGACATGGACAATTCCATTATCGATCTCGACGATCACTTTGATCTATCACCACTCCGTGATAAACGTAGTCCATCACCGACTAAAATTCTGGTCAATGATTCACTAGACGGCATGCACTGTGCCTCTGTGTCTCTGTCCCCAGGCTTTACCCATAGTTCATCGTCTTGCAAAGCGTCAATTGTTGAATCACAGGGAGCTCTAGATCACAAGTGGTCTATGCCTTCGACTCCGCCGTCAGGTTCTATCCGGTCGTTGATCAAGCCGCCGGTGGTCGTGGACTCGCAGGAGGTTGTAGATCCTAGGTGGTCTATGCCTCCGCCCTCCCAAATACGAAACGGAGGATGGACTTCCACTCGACAAGACAATTACAATATACCACCACCAGCTGATCTATCCCAGATTCATCGAGGTAATATGCCTTCTCCTGACCTACCTGCCCGCCTCGTCAATTCTTCTCCTCCCTTTTCTATCCATTCATCCCCGCAGATACCTGAGCCTTCTTTCGCTATAAGAACCTTAGGTAAGAAACGCGTAGCAACAATCGCTTTCGCTGGCTCTTCACCCTCAATGGAAAGCTCTGATCAAGCTCGCCGACGTCTACATCGACGGCAAGGATCGTCAGAAACGCAACCTCCAGCACTGCTAGGTATCAAGCGCTCTCAAGACAAAGAGAAACGCAGACAACGACCGCGACTTCCTGCAAAGTGTAACCCTCTTTTCGATGATGCCGCTGTGCATTCCGGGGATGAAGTGAGCGAGGGTTCCTCCGGAAGTGAAGATGTCGAGAGTGAGTCGGATCGGATGTTTTTGGAAGAGCTTCCAGAGACCCAAGCTTCACCCTCGTATGACCAAAGCTTGGCCTACCGCCAGTCTCTTTTGACACAAGCCCCCGGTGGAGGCCCATCATTTGCCAACATGCCAGTTAGAAAAGGACGTTTCGGGCGTAACTCTTATAACAGTAATCGCCGGAGGCCTGTTGTTTCCAGCTCGCCTGCAAGGGATGATGAGGAGCCCGATATGTACGAGTTTGGCAGTTTTGTGGTAGATAATGATGCAGAGATATCGTACGATATGTAGTATTGATTCAAAACATACTACATATCTACTACACAATAGTACTAATTCAAAATAACAAAGAGTTCACCGTTTTTCTAATAGCCCACCGCGAGGGTCGAACTCGCAGCCTTCAGATACTTCGCCTAAGAGTCTGACGCTCTATCCGATTGAGCTAGGCGGGCACATTAGCTTTCACAATTTATCCTTTGTCATTGTTGTCATCTCGATGCTGAAAAGTCTTTGGTCGGCCAGACAATACGCCAGTGTATCTTCATTCTGGAGACCATTAGACCAGCGTATTCTGAACGCCGCTTCTTCCTCAAACTGTCGATCCCTCAATGACCTCGTTCAAAACTATTTCAGAAATTCTGGTCGTATCCTCGATGGCTCACTGCTATACGAATCTCGGCCATCTGCTTCGCGGAAAATGAATCGAGAAGCATCCACTGCCAATACCTCTGATGTAGTGCTAGTTGCACACTGTGTACAAGACGGAGATGAGCATAAAGTCACAGTTGCATCCGGATTTGCGTTGGAAGCACCGTCACACCGCGAAGGAGAGTCCTTGATTCTCAGTTGTGCGCATACACTCGAGGAGGCAGGTTTAACATCCTATCGTATGTAATCTCATATCACAGATATTATCTGTTTAACAGATCCGTCGTTCACCGCTCATGCTGAAAATCGGCGGCGGTGGTACTTTAGCACATCATTCCTCGTCGATCTCTGGACGCGTAAATTCAGGTTCTTTCGTGATATCCAGTGAAGGTGATATTTATCCTATAAATAATATCGTGTCTTCACTCCCAAGATCAGACTTGATGATCCTGAGCTGTGAAAAGCTTCCTGTAGCTACACTACCTATATCCCCTTACCCTGTTGATGCAGAAACACCGGTTATGGGGCATCTTGTGTCCTATGATCAACCAGAGGGACCCGAATGGAGCCCATGGGTCGGCGGCTCGTGGAGTAAATGGGTAAGAGGGAAGGTACTGGGCTACCGCGACTTTGCGGGAAGGGAAACTGAGGTAGGCTTTTGCTTCATCGTTGTTATGATTTCACTCAAGTGAAGGCAATTAGCCGGGAACATATGATGCCCTTTCTCATCTCTTATTCTCACCTTTACCTACTCCAGGGTCTAGCGGAGGACCGATAATCGATGAAGAGACTGGTGCAGTCGTTGGAGTCATGTTAGGAACGAGGATGGATAATCGTGTAGAAGGTATCAGGGGTTGGGGAGTTCCCTCTGAAACTATTTTCGAGGTTAGTCTCAGAAAAATTTGATTAGGAAAGAGATATTCATGCCCATTTTGTAGATGTTCAGCTTACCCGGATTGGAAGGAAAGAAATAACGGGAATGATGAATGATAATGCAGCCATTGCGAATATAATTATATATCATTCCTCCTCTAGAAACCAGTCTTTTCCGCTGAATCATGCTTCCATCCCGGAAGTTCAACAAGATCTTTTGCACGTGCTGCACGTCTGGACTTTCGTGCATCCCCAGAACCTGGACGCCATCGCCACGCTTCCTGCATGCCCTCTTGCAGAGTCCCTTCCAGTAATTCGACTACATGTCTACCAATCTAATGACGGATATGAATGTTGGACTTCAACACGATGCTCGTTGACCAAACGAATGAATCTTACGATTGGGAGGAGTTTGAACGAATGCCTTTCACGACGATTGGATAGTTCTTCAGAGTTTAAGAACCAAGTTTAATGCGTCTGACTCACCCACTATCACCAGTTGCTACTAAGAGGTTCTGTTCAAGAGCATATGTTTGAGCCTATCCAGGAAATCCGAAAAGTAAAGACTTCTATACCTTCCATTTAGGATGATCGCATATAAGCAGATTGGCATCTGCCGTATCAGCACACCAGCACATTGCTCGATTAAACAGCTCCTTGTCTTTGAATTTCGGTAAAAACGTAGCGATGGCCTTGTGGATGGTGATCTCAGATGCATTGGGGTAGGTATCTGTCGGATGGCGAGCATGGGACCTCGGGATTGATACTAGTTTTGGCTCTGGAGCACCGAATGGCTGATGCATTTTGTATCGGGTGAAACCAGGGAATTCGTCGCACACTTTGATGATTCCGTTCCTGCAGATAGATGTAGGCTGTGCATGAGTGACAGAAAAAAGCTTACTCGTCAGGTTCGAAGAAGAATCCAAGGTCTTGGTTATATACTACAGGACAACCGGCGTATTCTTTGACTTCTTCGGGCGTCAGTTGTATGTGAGCATATACCCAGGCTTTGGAGCAGCATTGATCCTCGAGATCAACGAGAGAAGGAGTCCATGCTCCGGACGCCAAAACAACTCTGTCAGCTAAGTACCGAGTTCCGTCCTTGGTCACGGCACCCAGGCAGGTCTTTCTGTCGTCAGAGAGAACGAGGCTTTCGAACGTCCCGGAGCTGTGTTAGATAGCACGATACATGTTTATGAGGTAGATATCAGAAAATGATATAGGCTTACTCTCCAAAAGAGAATTTAACACCGCGTTGGACGAGTTCCCTGCCGACAGAATCGATTGCCTTTGCCGCGGCGAGCCATCCTCCTCGCTCAAAAAATATACCTTTCCATCCCTTTGATCAAGAAAAATCATATCTGAAATCCAAAACGAGGTTTAAGTAAGTAAGCGTACATGGATATCTGAATCAGCCAACTGTGGCACACGTTGGATGATTTCGTCCTCCGCGTCAAGCCATTGCACGGTATGGCCAAGTCCCGCCTCTTGGAGCTTTGCGACTGTGTCTCTGAGATCTTCTATACCACCAGGAGAGCCACAGCAATCCAACTGTTGCGTCGGTTAGGCCTTTTTGGACTGGAAAGTGCCCATAATCGGAATACTTACTCGTCCAGAACGATGATAATATGGAGAGAAGGTCGGGTCATTGGACCTGTAGAATTCGGCTGCTATTATGATTTTTAGGAATGCAATGTACATGCCATGCATCTTCCGCCTCAAGACTGAGTTTTCTGTCCACTGGATTACGCAGACTTGTACCCATTATCTTGTTCAAATCATTTCCAGCGCTTTGAGCACTAGGAATGGGGTAAGCATCTAGAACACGTATTTTTTTGTACCCTTTCCGAGCTAAATGCAAGGCTGTCGAAGATCCAATAGTTCCACCACCTCCGAAGACGAGGATAGACGAATTAATGTCTAGTAGCATCTCAGCGCCCTTGGACTGCGGCACGTTATCGGGTAAACCAAATTTCGCCAGCCAATCGCATTATTGCGTTGGAAAACTTACATAATCGGTCCGCAGATATGCCTCAATTTATTCCGCAATGCTTCGTCACCTTATAAAAAGCCCTCTGTCAATCAGTTCTGTTTGTTTTTCCCTTCCTTTCCTGCCTCATATCGTCTTCTGTCCTTTTTTTTTCTTTCTTCTTTTTTCTGCTTCTACTTTCCACAAGCTTTTCATGCAACCCTTCAAGAGTCATTTCATATACAAGTTCTCTTTATCTGACCTCTGTTCAGGCTCAATTTCGTGTATTCTTCACTTCGATGTCGAAGTTGGCATCTCCGGCCCTCTTGGTGCGTATTTTGATTTCTCCTCGCCTTGATAGTCCTGCTCAATTAGTTTTACATAGCTTAAGCACGGATCTATCATCTTTCGACACGTTACCCTCAACGGAACCAATTCGTCATCACCCATCGTGACCTTCGCTGTCCTCAACGTACATCGCCGTCGCTAACTTCCCTTCCTTATTCATCGGTCATCGGCCTTCCAAATTAACTCATCCGCTGATATCTCTTGTCACCTGCTCAGTCATAAACCCATGTATATGGTTCTCAAAATCATCAGGCCCCCGTCTATAACTCGTTCGGCCCATTGACAACAACCTTCGCTAACGGCCATCTTCTCACGTCGACCTTTAAGGCAGGAATTCCTGAGTGAGGCACCGTACTCGGGAACCAACATATGGATTTGTCGTCCGTTGTCACCCCACACGATTTAGCCGTGTATATCCATTTGATGTTATGGAATTATGCAGATATTGAAGATTGCTACGCGGTTATCATTGCCACTGGGTACGTACTAGTACTCATTATGAGAATAAACTGTTTTTCATGGCTTTTGGCCTCGTGAGCGGTTTTCCATAACTAAGAATACTTCTCATAACTTGAATGGTTACAGAGATTTGTCTCCGACAGTCTCCACCTTCCCTCCCTCAGGCTAAAATTTTATGAAATTTTGGCTCCGTCGTTTCGTCACTTTGCAGCCATATATCTATGATGTAATATATATTTTTATTCTATATAACGGTCGCATTTTTCACCCTTTGGAAACAAAAAAAAAACGCCCCCTACAAATTGAAAGAAAAAAAAACTATCACCAAATGATTGCTGTAAATTTTTTCTGCTTGCGATTGTTAATTTGGTTGCTGATGCCTGAACCCGTTGTAGACTCAAATAACCTTCCAGTCTGAGCACTGTGGTAGCCAGACGTGCAACTGCGGACCCTCGTGCGTGTTTTGTATTTCAGAGTAAGATTTTACTGAGGATATCTATTTCCAGTTGTGCTTGCAGCCCAGGTGATTGCAAGTGCTAAATGCAGGTCATTGTAGATTGAACCAATGTGTACTGTAGGATAATGATTTCTTCAGATCGTTTACGTCTCAAAACATCAGGCAATGTTTGAGTTTAATACTTGCTTCTGCACGAAGTGATACTACTCAGCTAAAGATACTTAAATCCTCGTTGTACGTCGTGAACTATGGCTGGGCATTTATCCGCTCTCGAGTCACTTCGAGCGTAGCTTTAGGCTGAAATAATTTATAAATACTAGGATTGCTTGCGGATCCAACCTCGCTGACCCCAGATAACACGGGAGAGATGGCAAAGTCCGGGCACCAAATTAGACTTTATAACTTGCCGCGTTGTGATATGCTGTGTCCAAATAGTAGACTGAACAAAAGGGGCTCGAGAAAGAGTAATTGTTTTCTATCCAGCCGTCTCAGATTGAGCCGAGACTTTTTGTTAAAACTTCTGCCCTCCAAAGACATGCGGCCATTCGTATCAGATCCAATTATAGGGCTTCCTAGGATTCTGCATGTACAAAATAAACTTGGAGCTTGGAATCCCCATTGGGAGAATCTGTTGTCAAAGAAGATGATCACACCCGAACTCTGTTTTTCTGAAACCGTTTAGAGGAGCATGAAGGAGA